ACTAGGCCTACCCATGTTTGACAAGCTATACTATTCTTGCTTTGAAATGGGACTCGACGGCAAAATCCCATGAAAGAAAATATGTGGTTCGGTACTTGTATAAAGCGGGCATGCTCTGAAGCGGTTGCACAGCAAACCGGTTATAAGCTTATAGTTTCAATCCTAGGCGTGACCTCTATTTTGAATGGCTTGTAATTATTCCAGTTTATGGGTTCAACATCTCCAAAATCAAGGTCAGAACTGCAGTCTAGTACACTGTGAACAACAATGAGGATATATGATGAGTCATTTATCACATATATCCTCTATATCATCATATATCCTCTATATATCCTCTATTGTACACAATTATAGATCTTTTTTGAGTAGTTTTTGGATGGCAGTTGGCGTCAAGGCGGAGCCAGGAGCAGGTTGCAAAGGTCATAGAGCTTTGGTGCAGACCTGCGTGCCTTGGGACTCCCGGGAAGCCTGGTCAGTGAGAAGATATGAATGGCTTCCGTTGGCAAAACTTGAGCAGTTGGATGAAATTGTGACACCATGCGCCAAGGGGTCAGCTGCCAAGGCTTGCATGGAGAGTGTGCTAGCTCCAGACTTCAAGCAAAATTCGCCAAGAATGCCTTTTGCGGGGGATGCAGGTCACAGAAGTTCGGGTGCTTCGTTGAGGAGCAGATTGGATATCAGTTATCAGGTTCTCACATTATGGTCAAATCCCAATCCCCAACTGATTTGACATGACTTGACCAACACTACACACCTCAAGCCAACCCCAAATCATCCGCACTGGCCCATTCGCCCTTGTTGCTTAGGCCCCAAGAACCTTCGCAGCCCTCCCAGAAGCCTTTGGATGTATCCACGACATCTACTGACGCCCAACCAGCTGCAGCCTCAGCGGTGTCCACGGCATCACGACCGAGAGGACGCCCCCGTGGGAAGCCCAGTGCGACGGAGGCGTCCACGTCCGCGGCACCGCAGACATCGCCTTCGACGTCGCCGTCGGAGCTGTCACAGCCCGCGCAGCCGTCACAGCCCTCGCAGCCGTCACAGCCCTCGCAGCCTGCGACGGCGGAGCCGGCGGCGGAAGCGGCAAACCAGCTATCGCCTGGGTTGCAATCACCCAGTTTGAGGAGAAGGCCAGGCGGAAGATGGGTGCATGGGAAGCATATGTAGGTTTCCTGCAACGGGGGTATCAGCAGCGGGCACACAGTGGCAAACACCAAGACACAAGAATGCAATGCAAGAGCGCACAGCTCTGTTTTCACCAATGGGCACAGCGCCCAGTCAGCAGCCCATGTCACAAGGCTGAGCGTTCAATCTATGAAAGAAAGAATGGGCCCCTCCTGAGCCAATATATAATGCAGTCAAGGGCCAGCAGTGCTTCATCATATCGACGTGGCAAACCTGACAAGGATCTGAAGTTGTTGCACCAGCATAGAAAGGAAGATCAGGTTTGCCGCCCTTGAGGTAGTTGTCAATTTGGTTCACTGCTGTTTTGCCTTCCTTTCTTTGTTCTTCTTGGAGGCTATGAATTGTGGATCATATTTGACAGCCCACAGCCCACAGCCAAGTTTTGAGGAACTTCTGAAAGCCAACTCGGCAGTCAGCACGTTTCTTCGTCAGACTTCCGCTCAAGTCATGGTCACTGGCTACCCAGCGAAGCTTGGAACCAGCACGCCGGAGGTATTCTCGAAGTTGTATAGGGCTTGAGGTGCAGAGCGGGTGTTGCTCAAACCCAAGAGATGGCTCTCGTTGTAGCGCACGGCATCAAACCCACCTTTGCTGTCAGTGCAAAGGGCTCCTTCAACTTGTTTTACCATTTCTTCTGCACATTCCACCTTGTTGGCATTAGGTATGCATTAGGTGAATGGTCAAGTCCAGCACCATGGATCACACCAAAAGAGACGTGCACGAAAATTCCAGTCTCCACCTTCAAGAACGGCTTGAACTTCCATCATTTGATGCAAGAGCTTTGCAACGGAGTTTCCATATATATATATATGTAATAATAATAATAATATTTATAGATAGGACAAAATTCACCTTTCAGAGCCTCACAGGGCCGCTCATCAGTGATGATTCCACCAGTCGAATCACCTTTGCCTCGATTTGCATGAGCTTGGTCAGCCATAGTGACGAAGCAAACATCGCGCCAAGTTTTCGCTTCTTGTGCTTGAAAAACTTGAGCTCATAGGATTCACGACGAATCTCGCCAATCATACGCTGGATTTCCATGGCATAGCTCATCTTACCAAGCCTGATAACTTCAGCGAGGAGGGGATTGCATCGAGCACAGAGTTGAGGTTGAGTTTGAATTGCAAGCCACTGCAATGCGCCAAGAGCACCTCGGCAGGCAGCAATCTCATCAGAAGTCTTCTGTGCATGTTCATTGCGCAATCTGTCGGCAGAGATGTCAAGGTCTGTCAGGGAAGCTACATAGTAGTGCTAGCTAACGGAGATGACAAGATCGTGATCAGCATCACGGTTCACTCGGATGTCTGTGCCAGCGTGTCGATATGCAGAGTGCTTTGTACTTCCCCATCGGTAAGAGGAGTCTAGTTTGCGGCAAACTTGTTCCATTTTGCATTGTTGGGGTCTCCTGTCCTGTGGAAGCCATCCACATGGCCACCCATCATGTCTATGGTGACGGCTGTTGGGTCACTTGGTCCACATCATACGAAACCCAGAGACATCGCTCTCCCAGGGCAGGATATCCACCGGGACCAGTCAAGGTTCGATGCAAGTCAAGCCATAGTCCCCTGGGAGCTGTATAGATGTTGAGCATAACCTTCATGATGTCGAGGCCAAGTGCAGACCGAAGTTCCGCTACACCATACGTCCACAAGTTGGCATCAGAAGACGTAGGAGCCGTCTGGAGAAATGCAGTTGCTTAATCCAAACCTTCAAGCTGCCAAGAGTGTTGGCAGGTGGCTTGATAAAGCAAGTTTCGGGCCAACATAGACTGCACAGGTGAGGACGTTTTGTAGTCCACATTGCCGATCTCAGGGTGTTCAAAGCCTAGCAGCACAATACGTGCTTTTGCCTTTCTGAGGCCGTCAGAAGTGAGTGTGTGTGTGTGTAAGTGTGTGTGTGTGTTGAAGATGGGTTGTTGGCAGCATCCTGACATGCTTCAACTTGATCCTCTGGACGCACAAGTTTCCAGGTTAGCACCCAGCGAGCACGGACAACGCATCCGCTCCCCATGGCTTCATGTACTTCATCAGTTCGATGGCAGGCCTTCACTGCTTCGTTCTTCAAGAAGCTGTCGGTTTCCTCGCCCTTAGCACGAGCGAAAAGCTCTCGATGTTGAGGAGAATTTGCTGAGAACCACTTCGGAATCTCGCATCTTTTTGACAAGATACGCAGTAGGGCTTCGGAAGAAATTCTTGAACTGCCGCTTTGACACAAAGCCCAGGTCAAACTCCATGGAGAGGCAGTCCAGATCATTGCCAACAACCAGATTGTAAAAGTGCAGAAGTCCATCATCTGGTTGATGCAGTTCCTCCACCCACTTGAGGTCGTACTGAAAATAGTGTTCATGTTTAGGCATGGTTCTCATGTCTATGTCACCGCTGACCTTTTGCTTTTTGGGGTGAGGCAAATGTCTAGGAGAGACACCAATAGTCGTTGACATCGCGATCCAGCAAAGTGAAGACACTTTTGTGAAGCAGCTGGTTGTAGTTCGCAGAGTCTATGTGTGCAGGTGCTGCAAAGAATGATTATCTCAATTCTTCCAAGTCAAGTCAGGAGATTCATGAGTGGGAGCTGCAGGCGCCAGTGCTGAAGGTTGAGAAGCACTGCCAGGTTCAGGTAAAAGTTCAACATCATCATCACCTGCTTTCGGCTCGGCTTCCAATCAGCTGGAGTCAAAGCTTGCTTGCCAGCAATCTTGGAGCGTGGTTGAAGTGCAGGATCAGAAAAAGTGACGCCTTTCTGGAAAACCTTTGTGGCCTGTTTGGCCACAGCAGAAGGCACAGCTGTTGATTCATCAGGTTGATCTGGAAGATCAGGAAGCTCTCGTTCATCTTCTCCTGTGGCTTGATCAATGATGTCCAGGTAATTATTCGAGTTGAGGCAGGACATCAGCGAAGGATTTCCCACTTGGTGGCATCTTGCTTGTCACAGACTTCAAAGTTGACACGCTCGGTGTCGGTGACCGGTCTCACCGAGTGAGCACTGCAGCACAACAGCTGCGAGCCAATCAACACCTACAGGATGTGTCTTCTCTCATCTCCTTCGTCTTGGTGATGAAGAACTTCATGAAAATCAACACATCACGTCCAGGTCCAGTCCAACGAGGACGGATACTTCTCTGAAATCCGCCTCGTCGGCCAGGAGCAGCAAGGTGAGCAGGCCATTGCTTGCGCCAAACCATGACTAAGTCCATTGGCTCACAGGTGCGCAGAGGCTGCTTCACACTGGAGTTCTCGAGTTGGGACATCACACGTAGATTCTGGTGCGACGTGCAACTTCTTCAGCTTGTTGGCGAGCTCGAACAAGGGCCTCATACTCAAGATGTCTCAAAATGCTTGGTGGTGTCAGGCAAGTTGGCAAAGGTTCTGACCTATGCATCGGTTATGGTGTAGTCCTTGCATGTCCTTGCCATATAGCACCACTGAAAAGAGGAATAGCCCCTGGTGTATTCCGTACTGTTGAGAGCTGCACAAGCTAGTTGAAGAGAAACACCAGGTGGTAGAGTTGGTTGTCCAGGCTGAATGGCAGAGGCTGTCATCTTTACATTCTTGCTTGCTGATTCAACAAGTCACTGAGCCCATGATTCCTTCTCAGCTGGCAAGCTGAGTTGGATGCCCAATTGGTGAGGAACTCGTTCACATCGGTGGCCGTCAAGACAGAGGAGTTGTCATGGACAACAAGTCGAGGTTTGGGCTTCTCGGCCAACCATTTTTCAGCAATTGCTTTGATGACATCCTCAGAGCTTTCTGACAGCATCTGAGTCAACCCGTACGATTTGACAACATGAACCGCCCGGAGCTTAGTGGCAAAGTCTATAAGCAGGATGAAAATTTGAATTTGATCTGCTGGTCTGGAACATGCCACTCGCTGGAGTCAGCTCTGACGGTCTCCCACGCCTTGCACCAGGGGTGAGTTGTTGCCCTTGGCACTTCACCTGAACTTTTACTGTGTTGTAGAAGACGATCACAAGCAATCGCATCGAAGATCTCGAGCAATTTCGATCTTCCACTTGGGAAGTCCAGCATCGCGAAACAGGTGAACGAGGTTGTTGTTCGTGGGGTGTCCTGCTGCACGGTGATAGTGCTGCAGTTTGGCATGCCAAGCTTGTCGATCTTCTTCAGGGACACCATCCCTATGTTGAGGAGCTTCAAGTATAGAAGGGTCATAGCCGTCAGACAAATCAACATCAAATCATCAGGAACAGGTGGAAGCACCTCTTCAGCAGGTAGAGCTTGGAGACGTTGCGTCCACTTCACATCGCACTCTGCAAGGTTGGGGTGCTCCACAAAATCAGGAGAAGTCAAAGCTTGAACATGATGTTGAGGAGCAAGTTGATTCTTCCAGTGTCGCACAATTGACTCCACCATCCGAACTGGATAGTATGCAGAGCGGGTTGTTTCAATTCCCTGAATGAGAGCATGGGGGGATGGTTTCAAGGACAGGCCTTGCACTTGACGCTGCGATGAAAGAGCTCATCGTTGCACCATGCAACTTGCGCAGATCGTTCTTTTCCTGGTCGGTCAGGAAGTCTTCCACCTGGCGACGGCCTGGAGAGTCCAAAATTATCGGATCCCAGCTGCCGTCGGAAGGACTGGTCGCCGGTAGACCTTGGTGACAACCACCTTTTTCTCCATGTTCTTGGAAGCTGCCTTGGACTTTGTGACCGACGTTGGGCTTCCCCAGAAGATATATTGCACCTTGATGTTCAACTTCTCCTTGGCCGTGATCTTGTCCAACATGGCTTTCACAATCTCTTCCGTTGGAAGTGCACCATGAAGCATCGGCTGGAGTTGCGTCAAGGCCCTTTGTACCATCACTGCATTGTGGACCGCAGTGTGGCTGGAAGGAGAGCCCTTCCGTGGCTGATACCACAGCTGGAGGGCACAAACCTCGCAGCGGGCCCAGGCGCTGTGTGGATCCGTGTGGGTTTCCCTGGGGATTTCCCTTCCACATGCTTGCCATGATGCGGCCAGGTCATTGGAGAGGCACGTGGATCTCAAGGGTCGTAGGTCATCATTCGATCTGTGTCCAAGGGGCGAGCTGTTGGCTTGCCCTTCACATTGGACATTGATGCTGCTCAGCACCGCCGCTTCTTCCACTGGCTTTGCGACGAAGACGCCGTTGCCAGTCGCAGAGGTAGATGCGGGGGCTTCTACAACTTGTTTGTTGGAAGAGCTGACCATCTGTGACATGTTGTGGCTACATCGAAAAAGTTTTCAACAGCTCTTCACGATCATGTTTGAGAGGAGAATATGTAATGAAGGACATGACTGCTGGGTGGCGTAGAAATCAAGAGGACGAAACTGCAGGACTGGTTGCACAAAAATGGATCAACTTCAGCAACAACATTGACTTGCGCATGCCCTCCTGCTCTGGTTTGACCACGTGTGAGATGGGACAACATATCATATAATGTTTCTTCGGATTGACTGGTAGTTTATACTTCAGGGCTATCATCAACGCCATCCAATGCTAAACCAGATCCAAAATCAACCAACATTTGACACCCATGTGCACCAAGATGATCCATGCCGATCAGAACTGGAACAAGCTGTTTCTTGTCAAAGTTGGGCTGGTAAATTTCAACTGGGTGTGGAAGTGCATACAATGAAAACGCTTTCTTTTGACCAGAAACATCCGAACAAATTTCCAACTTGTACCTAGCTCTGCCCCACTTCCCTTTGCCGAAGCCGAAGTATGGCCGCTTCGCTGAAAGAATGTTCACGGTGGCTTCTCGGTTGAGAGACAAAACAGCTTTTACCAGCTCTTGGGTGGAAACTTCTGGTGCTGCAGAGGCCGGTAAGCTTGTGAAGCCAAAGAACTAGAGCCAGCACCAGTTGATGCCTTTGCTGTGGAGGCCAGTTCCATGCCATATAGAGCATAGGCGTTCACAGGGTTCTTGCCAAAGCCATTGCCATCTTTGGAGTGGTAAGGGCCCTTGCCCTTGGAATTCCAAAACATCTCTTGGTCAGACATGTGGGAAAACTTGGACTTACCTTTCTTGCCCTTGCCTTTGTTCTGGAAGAACGCATCTTTGGGGTCAGTCATGTAGTACATGCCCTTGCTCTTCCCAGAAAAATTGCCCTTGGGGTAGTTCCCATGTCGTTTGCCAGGACAATCCCTAACTAAATTTTAAATGGTTACCGCCACAGTTAACAACGATCATTGTTGACAGTGTTGACATGACCAAAACCTCTATCGCGCTTCAACTGCTGGGTGGTTTTTTGGGCTTCCTGCCAACTGCGCTTGGCTTCAGCTGCAAGTTGGTCAGCTACTTCCTTAGCTGCAAGAGCTTCTTCAAGGCGCTCTTCTTCGTCAGGAGACAAAGCAGCTTGCGCATCCTTAGCAGGGAGCGACGCTTTCATCGGGCCATTCATGTCCATGCCATTCATCATGCCACTGACCATCGTTCCACCATCCATCATCACGTCCCCAATTCCACATCTCATCATAGTTCATCTCATAGCCATCATCACAAACATCGTCATGCCATTCATGCCATAGAGCGTGGTTAGAACTTCCATGACGTCCAGCATGTGGTGAATAACGGTGACCAAGCAACTGTTCATCCCAAAGTGCAGACAAAGTTTGGCTGATGGCTTCGGCACGGGAACAACCGCCGACCACGCAGGACACCCATGATAAAGGAGTCTGCCAAAGAAACTTCCGAAACATCTTGGGGGATTTTGGGCTTTCCCACTTCTGACTCAGGTCCTGGTGAGGAGCCAGGAGCCGCACTAGCAGAAGCTTCAGCACCTTGCTCAGGAGAGGCTGGAGCTGCGGCGGGATCATGTTGAAGATCCGCGTCAGGGCGGGGCTGCCCTAGGGCCAGGCTGCCCTAGAGGACATGAGACCTGGGGCAAGGCTGCCCTAGGGCAGCCCTGCCCCAGATCTCATGTCTTCTAGGGCAGCCCTGCCCTAGGGCAGCCCTGCCCCAGCTCTCATGTCTTCTAGGGCAGCCCTGCCCTAGGGCAGCCCTGCCCTACCAGAAGGAGGATCCATGCCCCCCATAGAGCCATGCTCATAGTCGTCATCCCACCAGTGCCATTCAGAGGTAGGTGGCAATCCAAAATTTCTGTCAGCAGGATCTACACAGTCAGCTCTTCCCACAACCGTATGAGGGCTTCAGAACACTCTTCATAACCCAAGGTATCCCACACGAACCAAAAAGTTTGCCATTGACTCGCCAGGCTGTCTCTTGAACCCCAAGTACTGTTGAAGAATTGCAGCTGTGTTCGGAAGGGTCTTGCGAGCCAGGGGAGAACCAGCTAGCTTCTTCAAAAGATTCAGAGTTCCATCAGGTGAATCAAAATTCCTTCTTGACCATGACTATAGCTAGAAGACGAGCAGGGCCAGATAGTCTTGGAATCAACTTGGAAGCCACATATCACGTTTCTTGGTGGGGGTCGAAGCAAAAAACCATGCAACTTCCTTTGTGTACATACGCCAGTTCTTTGCTTGTCCATCCTACGAGGGCACCGACGAATCATCATTCTGAGTTGCCACTTCTGCAAAATGCAGGTTTCAAAGGAAAAGGGTGATCACAAAGATCGGGTCACTCTCCACTTCGCCTTCAGGAAGTCAAACACAAGGAAACAGAGCTCAAAAGCAAAAAGGAGGTGAGGAGATGCCGTTCGGCAAGTTCACCGCTGCTCGAAGATACCGTAAAGGATTTCAAAAGCAATGTCAGGGAACAGCAGGTAGTAAGGCCGCGGAGCGTAGTATGATCTGCTGCCAATGCAGCGGGCACACAGTGGCAGCGATTGGGCAAACACCAAGACACAAGAATGCAATGCAAGAGCGCACAGCTCTGTTTTCACCAATGAGCACAGCGCCCAGTCAGCAGCCCATGTCACAAGGCTGAGCGTTCAATCTATGAAAGAAAGAATGGCCCCCCCCCGAGCCAATATATAATGCAGTCAAGGGCCAGCAGTGATTCATATCGACGTGGCAAACCTGACAAGGATCTAATGTTGCAGTATCTACTAAAATGGATTTTTTAGGAAACCCCTATATATGTGGTGATTTCCCAGTGGCAGGTTAGAGTCCTAGAAGGCACAAAGAGGTTCTAGGAAAACCGTGTTGATCCCTTTCAAAAAACTGGAGCACCAAAGAACTGGCGGGAGAGCGGACGCAAACTGCATATGGATGATGCGAGTGAGGTTGAATTTATGGCGGATATCTAGCAAAAGGCAAATCCCATAATATCAAATAGCCCTGTGGGCCCCCGAAATGGCGCGATCAAATATTCAATCTGATTTTTATTTATTTTTGGGGAAGGGATTGTGGTGCAATCATTGATGGCATGAATGTTGCTTTTCTACACTCTAAGGACGCGTGAAGTTCTTTCAGTCTCAGATCAATTTTGGCCCCCTGCAAAAGGTTTGTGCAATCCAGACCTGAACCATTTTGGTGAGAAACAGACACGGAACAGCTGAGAGTTTTCCATGGGTGACATCGCACACCGGCACCGCAAGTCCTCCATTCTCGGGCTGATCCCCTTTATGTATTGTGATCACCCCACGGTTTCCATCCAGTTATCCCCATCTCAAAGTCATGTAAATTCTTCATTTCGGTCGGCGGGCGAAAATATGTTTATTATATAATATTATATATATATATATTTATTTAATTATCATGTTAAACAAAATCCTACTCCTGCAAGTCAGAGTCCCGTTGTTAGTGCCTGTGCTATATCTCATTTGCTAGTTGCCATTGCCGGAACGTTTATCGCATTCCTACCACTGGTAGCGGGTTGCCACCGGCCCGAACTGCGGAAATGCAGGCGTTTGTCCGTGTCGCAGTTGCAACAGTCCGGCTGGCATGAGTTAAGTTTGGTGAATGGTCAGTCGCTTACTGGGCTAACTGATTGTTTGTTAAACATTGGTAATACATGGGTAATACATGGGTAATACGTGGTAATAAATGGTAATACAGAGTAATACATGGTAATACAGCAATACGTGGTATATTTACCAATGTATCCCCTTAATTATATCCCATTACAATTCATTTCACTTGTCCCATGAAATGTACCAGTATATCAGTATATCCCATTAAGTCCCAGTATATCCCAGTAAATTCCATGATACCTCATGCAAAATTATCCCACATATCCCATTACATTCCACCATACCCGATGAAATCCACCGATATATCCCACTAGATCCCACTTTACCCCACTTCATGCCATTATATATACCCCACAAAATATCCCAGTACAGTACATGTGCAACCCACAAATTGAGATATAATGCAAGCTCTTTGAAGGATGTTGTTGATGTATGGTGGATTAATTTTCTGAAAATTGTAGATTGCCAGGAGAAATGTAATATATGTTATTTTTTAGTATACAACTTATATATAACACAACAATATATATATATATATAATCCCCCTCTCAATATCTCTGATAACCCCCCGGAATCCGGGTACTGTTTCTTGGTGTGTGTTTTATAAGGTACCCACTTTTTGGCGGTACCAAAAATGCCAAGAAAAACCCGTGTTTTTTGGCCGGTGGATGCGACAGGATCAGCCATTTTATAAACTGGCCCACTTTTGTGGAGCTATAAAATACTATGAAATCCTTTGGAATGTTTTAAAAAAAACGGGTCACAAAGATTAGAGTTTTGTTTTGCTTCTTTTTTAACCAACACCAACAACCTTATAAAATCATGGTTCCTTTTTAACCTGTTTAGATTGACCTAGTATACGAAGAAAGATTTTACCAGCAAAAACTGAGAAAGACATACCCGGAGAAATTGCCTTTGCAAAGTTTTTGTCTTATAAAATGCTCTGGAGATTGGTCTGTCTATATATTCTATATATATCTGTTTTAATGCGTCCTTCTGCAAAGTCCTCCTGAACAACCCCCGGTTATGAAATGACAATTCATAGTTAAGACACGAATCAGGATTTGGGCCTTTTCAATTTTGCCACTATATAAGGTTCTGGAGTGGCTGAACCCTCATGCAGAATTGCCATTTTATAAGCTTCAAAAACTGCCATTTTATAAGGATTTGATATTGGAATTGCCATTTTAGAAAAAGGGACGGAGTGATTGGGTGGTTGGGTCAGTGGTTGGGTGGTTGTTCTCAGATAAGAAATCGGGTAACCCTAGAATCCACCCTGAAATCCAATGGTTTATCCTCATCGTCTTCATTAAAACTGTCACATGTGCCATGGTAAAAAC